GCTTCGATGTGAGTGGTTGAAAGCAGACTTTATTCAAGATAACGGACAAGTGGTCTATTCAATCACATACAAGGATTTTTTTTACAAGGCCCTGCCTTCTGAAATCCAACCACTATGGCTCAGTACTAGACTCATGTGTGAAGTGCAGTGAACTACATGGGTCTGGCGAGAGTCAGGCTATATTTGTCATCCACCTTACTATGTAATAAATGAATACTGTTATTTGTTATAAATGAATTCTTTTGTTACTACTACTATGATGAAATTAAATGCTTTTGACCATTAAAATATAATTGGGTGTTAAATGTGAATCATTTCTAACCTATGTTGCACTAAATCTCATTTCCGAAACATTGAATTTCATTTCCGAAACACCATTCTCATTACCGTAACGTGTTCATTTGCAAATGATTTAATAATTATTTTGTTTTTTGTTTTTTTAGCAATTGTGTTGACACAATTTGTAGTACTACTTTTTATATCCCATTCACAAAAAATATATATTTATGTCAGTTTTCAAAGGAATATCCTAAAAAAACTAGATGTAAATCATTAAGTGTGTTGCGGTAATGAGACAAATTATAAATATTTTCAAATTTATAAATATAACGAAGTAATCTTTCTTGACTGATACATTCCTCTTGGCATAAGTGTTAATTAGCTACTTTTAAAATTTCCCAATTTTTTTTATTTTAACAATAAATCTGATGTGATTTCATGTTGCGGTAATGAGATTTTTTTGGCACTCAATATCTAAAATACCTGTAATTCAACTAAAAAAATCAAAAACGATGTTGAAAAATAATGTGTTTAGTAAGTTCAGACATTCATCTAAAGTGCTTAAAAGAAAATTAGTCTTCAAATGCCTTTTGAAAATTTTGAAGTTGGAATTGTTTTAAATCTGGATTTTGTGAGAATCACCCGTCTAACCACACCCAGATGATGGGTGAGAAACCTTCCTTTGCTTTTACTTTTATAAGGTAAACAATAGCTGGATACTCATAGAATTTGCAGCCTCGCTATTTTATCAAAACGTGAATGTATGAGCTCCACGCACAAACGAGGAAGAGAGCTACTCACTGCGCAGAGAGATAAGCAGGATGCGTGCTGCTGCCGCTGATGCTCCGGAGGCGAGGAGGAGGCGTGGCTTATAAATAAACTGGAGATGGTGGATTTGGATTGTATTTGGTGAGGACATTTCAGTCCCAAAATATTGATGAGGTCATGTCCCCACGGAGCCCAAGCAAACCTACACCCTTGCCCCCATACGACTTCTGGCAAACTTCAAACTGGATTTCTTATGTCCTCCTTTCAATAACGGCTTTCTTCTTGTCACTCGTCCATAAAGGCCACGTGTGTGTAGTGTACGACTGATAGTGGTCCCATGTACAGATTCCCCAGCTCAGCTGCAGTACTCAGCAGCTCATCCAGAGTTATCTTGGGGCACTTGGTTGCCTTTCTGACCAGTGCTATCCTTGTTCAATCTGTTGATTTAGGTGGACAACTGTGTCTTTAGAAGTTTGCATTTCCGAATGATGGATTTACATTTTGGTATACTTTAAGGCTACTTCTCCACAACTTTATCCCTGACCTCTTTGATGTGCTCCTTGTCCTCAGAACTTTGTTTAGTGACCAATGCACTCTGACCGTAGCTCTGAGGCCCTCAGAGATTACACACAAGGGGTTTCTAGTTAATCATTAGGGCAAGATGTTTACATTCGGCACTCATTAGAAATATTTTAAAGGCAATTTTAATGCACCCTGAAAAAAGTTCTATGAATACAGGCCCAAGTTCAGTCTATTCTGTCACCTTCAACAGGCACTTGGAATGTCAGACATCACCAAGCTGCAGTAAAGGGTCCACCACTTGCTTGTTTCCAGGGAGATGTTATGGCCAATCTGTGTCTAGTTATGTTCAGAATTCAGATTGAATTGTCCAGTTAGGGAATTCTGCCTTTTTTAACATCACAAGCTTTATGATATCGGATCTTTCTGATATAGAGCAGATCTACAGCCCTGTGTCAGTCAGTCGGTGGCCCTTGCTTCACTGTAGAAGTCATCAGTGAACCCACTCGATAGCTGAAGCTGTAGTTTTGATTTCCAAAACAATGCAGGAGCAGAGGGAGGTGAGGGAGTGACAGAGCCATTTTAGACTACATGTTTCCAAAGAGAAAATTTAGACACTGCAAGTGCTTTACAGGGGAAAAAATTGTGCAAAAGCCCCAGATCTTCCACCTCATAGCATTAGTGTGTTAACTACTGTATATTTCAATGAGATCAAATTGCTAAAGCATTTTGCACGCGCAGTGCATGTTGGCTTACCCCAGGGCTGCCCTTTGTCTTCGGTTGGGTTAATTGTTTTTTTATGGATAAAGGGAGTCTGGTTTGGGGACGACAGGATTGAATCTCTTTGGTTTATAAATGAGGTTGCCCTGTTGGCTTCAACAAACCAGGACCTCCAATATGCACTGGGACAGTCTGCAGTTGAGTGCAAAGCATCTGGGTTGAAAATCACCACCTTCAATCCGAGGCCATGGTTTTAGCCACTGAGAAAGGCCTTTGTCTTCTCCTGGTGGTGCAGAGGTGCTTCCTCAAGTGGAGAGGTTCAAGTTAAGTCATGAGTTTGAGATGATCAGTGCAGTGATCCCTCTTTGCTGTAGTAAAGAGGGAGCAGCGTCTGCAGTCAAAGTTCTTTATAACAAGACCGTTGCCCAAAATTAGTGTCTGGAAAGAGCTCAGTCACACAGGAGGAGCTCTGAGTAGAGTAGCTTGTACTCCACTTCGAGAGGAGCCAGCTGAAGTAAGGAGTAGGTCTCTGTTCACCGTGATGTTTTTTTTGTTGTTGTTGACATTTTACTGCTGAAGGAAAGTTTAAGGACAGGCAATGCCATGGGACATTTATCAATTTGCTTAATCACGCTAAACATTGGTTTATTTCTTTTTTTAGTGTTTGGTTTTCTAATCTGTGATTGGTAATTAAACAATATTGTAATGCCTTTTTTCTACTTTTAAATATGATGAAATGTTTGATCTATTGATAATTTTGCCAATTTTTTTTCAAATGTGCCAAAATCAAGTATTTTTATAAAGTAGTTGAATTATCTCATGTAATGTTTGAAATGTGAACTGAGCTGTTTTTACAGTGTGATAGTCAGTTATGATGAAAGTCTAATATTTTAATAATAATAGTGACGCTAGTGGGGGTGTGTGGAATGTATCACACAGACAGGAACCATAGATTCCAGGGCGTCTGCGCTCAGCCTCATGTCCTCAGTGTTTGCTCTCACACTAACACTATGTTCATAAGTTTATCCAGGACACCACACCTCTGTCTGCTCCCGGATGGCCTGGGCTGCTTAGACTTCAGCCACACTCATGCATACAACTGTGGGTGATAATTTGTTTACTTTATGGAAAAACGTGTTAATGTAGACCTAACCTCTGACCTAACAACAATTAGGTCCGCGTGTCAAGTGTAACAAACCATGAAAGTTATTTCTTGATAACTGCATTACAAAACATATGTTTCATCTTGCTCAGGGTGTTCAGCTGATGTCCATCAAACAAACTGGCAACCCAACTGAGAGACAGAAGCTCACTGTGCGTTCTGAAACAAAATTTAGTAAATAATAATCATTATAATCATAGCCTCAAGCGGTGATGAACACTCCCCTTACTGTGTGTGTATTTCACCCTCGTTGGTTGTAAGGTGCTCACAAGCGAAATAAATGATAACAAAGTCAGGCTTTAGACAAACCTCTGAATATACACAGTTTGTGTATGAGCTATGATGAGATATGAGGATCTTTCCATTGATTTAATTGAGGTCTTTGTGTCATTGTAAACACATGAACATATAAATGTTTTTGATGAATTACCAATGTGTAAATTACTTATTCTGTTGTGAATTGTTTGACTTAAAATAAATAATGTGAAATGTCAATACAAGTACGGTATTGACATTTGATTATTGGAATAAATGCTGTCATATGAAGTTGAATATGGCGAATGTTAAGTATTGAATGATGGCAAAAGACGGGAACATACTCATACGCGCAGTTACCAAGTGTAAAGGGAAGACATGATGCATGAATGCAGACCCTCGTTGAAGTCAAAGGGAAGGCTGTTCACCCAGGCTTTGTATTGATCCATTTTCATACTGCAGAACTGCGTTTTTGGACCCGAGATGACACATGTTAACAGGTTGAACTAGGGCTGCACGATATTGGAAAATAGAGCGATATTCGATATGAGTGTTTAGTATTGCCATAACAATTTTATTGCAATATTTTTTTCTTTCACCTAAAATTGCAATCTGCATTGAAACGCAAGAGACAAATAACAAAAACATAAATGACATTCAAATGCATACATTTATATACTTTTTTGTTTGTTTGTTTCTTTTTGTATTTTTTGAATGTTCATGTGTCTGTCTGTTTGTTGTCTTTATTAAAGGGAAAAAAAAGAAAAAAAACTATATTTTTTGCGCATATTTTTGATATGGATACAATATTTTTTCGATATATTGTAATATGAACGCAAGGAAGGAGGAGGAGGCGTTAAAGCTGCACTAACTGACTTTGAGAAATGTCCGAATGTGAGCGGTGAGCTCGCTCTTTTTGCTCACCCTCCCCGCACCCAAGGAACTTTTGCCCCCCACTACGCCCCTCCCCCTCAATACAATACAATACAATTTATTCTTGTATAGCCCTAGGTCACAACAGAAGTCATCTCAGAGGACTTAACAAAACCATTGAAATCACCAACACAGATCAGAGAATCAACAGTTAAAACACATGAAAAATATAAAGTACACACAGAAGAAAATGTCCATACATGTTGTAGAATGCTAAAGTGTCCTGAGCATCATCAATCCTTTCTGTTGGACACTAACTGTCCAACAAGACCCTCCTGCATCGACAAGGAAAAACTCTTAACTAGAAATGGTACAATGGCTGAAGCCATTGTGAGTGGCTGCATAGATGTTGGAAGGGTTAGGGATGAAGAAGGAAGAGGAAGGGGAAGAAGAAGGAAGAAGAAAGAAAAGGGAAGAAGAGGAAAGAAGAAGGAAGGGGAGGAGGAAGAAGAAGGGGAAGCAGAGGAAGAACGGGAAGAAGAGGAAGAAGGGGAAGAAGGGGAAGAAGAGGAAGAAGGGGAAAGAGGGGAAGAAGAGGAAGAAGGGGAAAGAGGGGAAGAAGAGGAAGAAGGGGAAGAAGAGGAAGAAGTGAAAAAGATGAAGTAAGAAGAATGTGTTCTAAGGTGCTGAATGTGTTGTAAGGCGTTGAATTTGTTGTAAAGTGCTAAATGTGTTGTAAGGTGTTGAATGTGTTGTAAAGTGCTAAATGTGTTGTAAGGTGTTGAATTTGTTGTAAAGTGCTAAATGTGTTGTAAGGTGTTGAATGTGTTGTAAAGTGCTAAATGTTTTGTAAGGTGCTGTAAGTGTTGTAAAGTGCTGTAAGTGTTGTAAGATGTTGTAATGTATTGTATCTGTGGTAATGAATTGTTAGTGTGGTAAAGTGTTGTATGGGGAGTAATCTGTTGTACTGGTCCAATGTAAGTCAATGGGAAAAAGTGCTTGAACTTTTGTTAATATCTGAAAAAGTGCAAAAGGTGGAAGTGTGAAAAGTAATAGCAATAATGAGACGGTGAAGCCGGTCGTAACGATGTATAATTTGTTGAATTTGGTGAAAGCGTTAAAGAGTTGAAAAGTGCCAAAATCTGGCGGAAGTGGAAGAAGAACTAGAAATGGTACAATGGCTGAAGCCATTGTGAGTGGCTGCATAGATGTTGGAAGGGTTAGGGATGAAGAAGGAAGAGGAAGGGGAAGAAGAAGAAAGAATAAGAAAGAAAAGGGAAGAAGAGGAAAGAAGAAGAAGGGGAAGAAGGGGAATAAGAAGAAGAGGAAGAAGGGGAAGAAGGGGAAGAAGGGGAAGAAGAGGAAGAAGGGGAAGAAGAGGAAGAAGGGGAAGAAGGGGAAGAAGAGGAAGAAGAGGAAGAAGGGGAAGAAGGGGAAGAAGAGGAAGAACAGGAAGAAGGGGAAGAAGAGGAAAAAGGGGAAGAAGAGGAAGAAGAGGAAGAAGGGGAAGAAGAGGAAGAAGGGGAAAAAGGGGAAGAAGAGGAAGAAGGGGAAAAAGGGGAAGAAGGGGAAGAAGGGGAAGAAGAGGAAGAAGGAAGAAGGGGAAGAAGAGGAAGAAGGGGAAGAAGGGAAAGAAGAGGAAGAAGGGGAAGAAGAGGAAGAAGTGAAGAAGAAGTAAGAAGAATTCGTTGTAAGGGACTGAAAGTGCTAAGTGTGTTGTAAGGTGTTGAATTTGTTGTAAGGTGCTAAATGTGTTTTAAAGTGCTAAATGTGTTGTAAGGTGTTGAATTTGTTGTAAAGTGCTAAATGTGTTGTAAGGTGTTGAATTTGTTGTAAAGTGCTAAATGTGTTGTAAGGTGCTGTAAGTGTTGTAAGATGTTGTAATGTATTGTATCTGTGGTAATGAATTGTTAGTGTGGTAATGTGTTGTATGGGGAGTAATCTGTTGTACTGGTCCAATGTAAGTCAATGGGAAAAAGTGCTTGAACTTTTGTTAATATCTGAAAAAGTGCTAAAGGTGGAAGTGTGAAAAGTAATAGCAATAATGAGACGGTGAAGCCGGTCGTAACGATGTATAATTTGTTGAATTTGGTGAAAGCGTTGAAGAGTTGAAAAGTGACAAAATCTGGCGGAAGTGGAAGAAGAAGAAGAACTAGAAATGGTACAATGGCTGAAGCCATTGTGAGTGGCTGCATAGATGTTGGAAGGGTTAGGGATGAAGAAGGAAGAGGAAGGGGAAGAAGAAGGAAGAAGAAAGAAGAGGAAAGAAGAAGAAGGAAGAGGAGGAGAAAGAAGAAGGGGAAGAAGGGGAAGAAGAGGAAGAAGAGGACGAAGGGGAAGAAGGGGAAGAAGACGAAGAAGAGGAAGAAGAGGAAGAAGGGGAAGAAGAGGAAGAAGGGGAAGAAGAGGAAGAAGGGGAAGAAGAGGAAGAAGAGGAAGAAGGGGAAGAAGGGGAAGAAGAGGAAGAAGAGGAAGAAGTGAAGAAGATGAAGTAAGAAGAATGTGTTGTAAGGGGCTGAAAGTGTTTTAAAGTGCTAAATGTGTTGTAAGTATTGAATTTGTTGTAAGGTATAGAATGTTTTGTAAAGTGCTAAATGTGTTGTAAGGCGTTGAATTTGTTGTAAAGTGCTAAATGTGTTGTAAGTATTGAATTTGTTGTAAGGTATAGAATGTTTTGTAAAGTGCTAAATGTGTTGTAAGGTGTTGAATTTGTTGTAAAGTGCTAAATGTGTTGTAAGTATTGAATTTGTTGTAAGGTATAGAATGTTTTGTAAAGTGCTAAATGTGTTGTAAGGTGTTGAATTTGTTGTAAGGTGCTGAATGTGTAGTAAGGTGTTGAATTTGTTGTAAAGTGCTAAATGTGTTGAATTTTTGTTAAAGTGCTAAATGTGTTGTAAGGTGTTGAATTTGTTGTAAGGTGTTGAATGTGTTGTAAAGTGCTAAATGTGTTGTAAGGTGTTGAATTTGTTGTAAGGTGCTAAATGTGTTGTAAGGTGTTGAATTTGTTGTAAAGTGCTAAATGTGTTGTAAGGTGCTGTAAGTGTTGTAAGATGTTGTAATGTATTGTATCTGTGGTGATGAATTGTTAGTGTGGTAATGTGTTGTATGGGGAGTAATCTGTTGTACTGGTCCAATGTAAGTCTATGGGAAAAAGTGCTTGAACTTTTGTTAATATCTGAAAAAGTGCTAAAGGTGGAAGTGTGAAAAGTAATAGCAATAATGAGACGGTGAAGCCGGTCGTAACGATGTATAATTTGTTGAATTTGGTGAAAGCGTTGAAGAGTTGAAAAGTGCCAAAATCTGGCGGAAGTGGAAGAAGAAGAAGAAGAAGAAGAATAAACAGTAGGAGAGCATATAGTGGCTGCATAGTCTATGCAGCCACTCAATAAACAGTAGGAGAGCATATAGTGGCTGCATAGTCTATGCAATGAAGAGCAATGAACAATCTACAGTCAAAATCCTAATAATGCTAAACAGATAAAGTAGGAAGGAGGAGAGGATAGTGCTCAAGTTACCATACTTCTCCCAGAAAACTGTCTCCCTATGCAACTTGACTGACAGTCTGAGGAGTTTAGCCTTCCCTGATTCTTACCTTCCTAGCCATATGCTAAACTAAAGAGGACTGTTTTAAACCTAGCCTTGAATAAAGAGAGCTTATCTGAAAGGAGGTGAGACAGCAGCAGCCACTGCCTAGCCTAGCCCTCAGTTGCACATGTGCTAATTGTATACAGAGCTCACGTCTCACAATATGGATCACACATTTGAACGTGGATGGCATGACCATAGAATGATAGAACCGGGAAGCACGGAGAGGACAAGACTTTCTTTTGGATGGATGTTTTGCTTTGTAAGCAGTAACCGGTAAAGAAGACACGGGAAGCTTCAGGTTCGCCTCCGCCGCTTGTTTACCTCCGCTGTCTGTGCTAACGAGAGACCTGTGGCTTTGTCAAGAAAGTGGAGGCCAGTGGTCCGCTGTGATTGTTCACAATCTGGACCCAAAACACATTCTCTTCCTTGTTTCGCGAAAAGTCGATCTAAAATTAAATGACACGCCTGCACTAGTCTGCACTACTTTTTCTTCAAAAGGACGTATATCCCAATGCTTTGCATGGATATGGATTGAATTTTTGTAATGAATACAAAAATAAAGTCAGGTAATGCAGCTTTAATGTGCTGAATGACCAGAGGAAATTGTATCGTAATGAACTATGATAAAAAAGGTACTTGTGCTTGCTTGTCTGTGCCAGATGCAAAAGCAAATGTGATGGCACTGCTCATGTCACTGCTGCTTGTACGGCTTTCTAAAGCCAACATAAGGCCAACCTATAGATAGACCCATGGACTGTTTTATAATACAAAGGTCTCTAAAAGGTTAGGCTGCAGTGACAGGAGGAAATATTTAACGTCTATAGGCAATAAGAATGTATTCATGATAGTTAAATAAACAGAAATGTTTTATCTTCATGGGATCATTGTTTATACGGGATACCCACTCACATCACGCAGCTCAAAGTGACGTAACTGTGGCCCACAACGAGTCTGACACAGGCTGCAGGTGCATGATGTTGCTCTCTTCTGCTCCTTCTGTTAGGGTTACATTTGTAATAATGCGTCTTGTGAGAAAATCTGACGTTTAAATACTTCAGATTGAGCGATACACATGAGCATGTAGAAATCCTTGCTATGTACAAACGTTGGAGATAGTCAATATGTTAAACAAAAAAATACCTTGCAATAGTTACGTACAATGACTTACAATAACTAACTCGCCAAAAACCTACAACCTAAAACCTAAATCTTGTACAGAGTGTAGGGTATGACTTTTTATAATGCTACAGCAAACCATTAAAACTTACCATTGAATGAGTCGAGTCCATGCAAGTTCCCACCAAACACATGCACAAGATGGCTAACGTGGAAAAAAGTTCTCAGTGGTCTCAGTGAAAATTATAAACCCTGCCACCGGCCCAAACTTGTTTGATTTGAGTTAAAAAAGCTATAGGTTACAACCATGTTTGAATTTGGATGAAACTATTTAACGTTTGTTTCGCAAACTATATAAAAATAATAATTTAGTTACACATTGAATATTATTTGTTTATAATCCAAATTAAATGTTTATCTTATCTATTCCATATGAAAGTGTTTCCACCAATCACCAATCTACCAATAATCACCAATAATGTTGGTAATAAGCATATTTAAATTTAATCCTTTAAGTGAAAACTAAAATGATTAAGCAAGTGCCAAAGAGAACCTTGGGCCTCATTCACGAACGGTTCTTAGGAACAGATTTGTACGTAAATCCTACTTACGAGGTTTTTACGAAGAAAGTGGCATTCACGAATTTTTCTCGTAACCAGAATTTCTCTTGGGCAAGTACAAATCCTACGAGTCCTCAGGAGCACTCGTACGCATTCAGTGCCGACATGTTCACACGCCGGGGTTGTCCTCTTTGGTGAAGTTTAATAAAAATACAACATTCCAGTGATATGTCCGTCATATCGATGTATGTATTTATTTATTTGTAGTAATCTTTATTAGTAATCTTTATTTATATACCGCCTTTTTCACTGCAGATCTGGTCTACTTTTTAATTCATTTTGAAATGAAGTGTGCCAACGCTTTATCAAATACATTGGAAATCTTGCCGTGTATTAGTGACCCCTTCCTATTTATAGGGGGCATTTCTTTATCCACGGGCCACAGAACAACGGCATATATACTGCTGCTGCAGGAGGTTACTGGGTCCGCGCTGAGTCTCTGCGCTGGTCTCTCCTATGGATCTATACGGGTCTGCGCTGGTGTCTCCCATGGATCTATACGGGTCTGCGCTGGTCTCTCCTATGGATCTATACTGGTCTGCACTGGTCTCTCCCATGGATCTAGACGGGTCTGCACTGGTCTCTCCCATGGATCTATACGGGTCTGCACTGGTCTCTCCCATGGCTCTAGACGGGTCTGCACTGGTCTCTCCATACGGGTCCGTGCTGCATGCTCCTGGATCCATACGGGTCCGCGCTGGTCTCTCAAGTCTGGTCTATGCGGTCTCTCTTCGGTCCGCGCTGGTCTCTGCGCACCGGTCTCTCCAGTCAGGGGACTACAGTCTATGCGGTCTCTCCTATAGGTCCGCGCTGGTTTCTGTGTGCTGGTCACTCCAGTCTCTCCTCGGGTCTGCATTGGTCTCAGCGCTGGTCCGCGCTGGATCTCCTCCCAGGGTCCAAAATATTTTGAGATTAATCTCAAAACATTTTGAGATTCATCTTTAAAATAATACATAATATATTTTTAAATTAAGCTAATAACATTTTGAGATTAATCTCATCATATTCTTAGATTAATCTCATAATTTTGCTAGTTCGACTTTATTCTCATAATATTTCGACTTTTAAGTCAACATTTTATAACTTTATTCTCAGTCTGGCAAAAGAAGAAAAAAGGGTGACTCTTTTGCTCCGTGTAACTCTTTGCTTTAGGCCTGTTGCTGTTTCCTCTGGCGTCTGCACACGGCCCTACAGTCCCTTTTATGGGCATTAATGGGCGGTTACTTATGCTAAGTACCTATGCTAATGAAGCACCTGGCACGCGCGCTCTACTTCCGAGGAAATGGGATTCATCAATCTAAGAGAACAGCTGCCAACAATTCAGCGGTTTACGAGTGCGTTGATGAATCCCACGTAGGGACTTCTTAGAAATCTACTTAAGGACAACTTGAGAAGAAATTTGAGAAGTTTCTTACGAAGTTATTTGTGAATGAGGCCCCTTGTGTCTTACAAATGCATGGCTTTGATGAATGTAAGATCAAAGAGATCTAATCACAGCCAAATGCTACATTGTTCTGTTCTGTCATCAAATATTCGTATTTCATCTGTAGCCTAACTGCTACATTGATGCAGGTTTTGTGTTGGACAAATATGATAAACTTTGTCATATATTACAAACAGCTCCTGTATTTATCAAAATTAGTTTTGGCTGTGAGGTAGAAAAAAATATAATTTTTGAAGCATTTTTGAAGTATAAGGGGCGACAGTAGCTCAGTTGGTAGAGCATTGGCCTTCAGGCCTGAAGGTCGTGGGTTCAATTCCCACCTTTACACCTTCTCCACCGACTCCCACTGATGACTGCTGTCGTTGTGTCCTTGGGCAAGACACTTAACCCCACTTTGCCCAAAGCCCCCACTGAAAGATCAAGGCTATGCTCACACTCAGAGAGCAGCCGTCCTCCTGTGGACTCACCACCTGCAGAGGGTCAGTGAGGGGCTGGTGCTATGAGACTTGGGTGGCATCTCTGATTGCCACCCCCCTGACCCAGAAATGGATTAAAGGGTAGAAAATGGATGGATGGATGGATGGATTTTTGAAGTATGTGTTTTTTATTGACTGAAACTAGCGATGTGTATATTATTTTATTAATATTGATATTTAGGTCTCCATAAATTAATTTCAAACACACAATGGTCCCAATGATTAAAGTAAACACAG